ATGCGAGCGAGCCGCGCACCAGGCCGGGCCCCGCTGACCCCTGCTCCCCCGCCCGCGGCCTGCAGCCCAGGGCTGGGCCCTGTTCCGACTCAGTGCGTCCCCTCCCTGCGCGGCACCCTGCGGGAAGGGACACACAGCGTTCCCGATGGAAACCCCAGGCCCTGACCTTGGAGACCCGTGGCTCCAGCTCCACCTGCGTTCTTCCTCCAGGGCCCTCGGGCTTGGGGCCCAGAGACGGTGGGCCAGCAGGTCCGGGGCTCAGCCCTCTCCACTCCACCGTCCGCACGGGGAGGCGGCGACCAAATTCCCGGCAGAGGAGGCCAGGCCCAGGACGGAAAATCAGCAAACGTGGAGCAGAGGGCGATTGCCCTTTCTCCCCTGTGCCCTCCAAGAAGTTGTCTCTGGAAGCCCGGAGCCTGAGCCGCTCAGGCGACCTCTCAGCCTCCCCACGAAACTCCCACAAGTCCTCAAGTTCTTAGGTGTTTTTCCAGCCACGGGCCTTGTTGATTGCTGTGCCAACTGTCCTTTAAGTTCCAGGGCTCCCGAGGCCCGTGCTGTTCCAGAATCAGGGCAGTAATTGTAATTATTAGGCTGTGAACGGAGCGCAGGGTCAGAGGCTGTGGGCTGAGGGATTGAGCATTAATGTTGACGAAGGGGGAAATTTCAACCTGTTTCCAAAAGTTTCAGTTGACAATTATCAGTAACCCCGATAGACAACTCCATTAAAAAAAAAGAAGAAGAATTTACTACTGCTCTTGAAAAGCCGTTATTTTTTACATCGCTTTTAGGAAGATAGATGAACAAAACATCGCGTTTCAAGCCATTCTGATCTGTAATTAAATGGCAGGACCGGTTTGTATTCTCCTACGGCTTTTACAGAAGTTGCAGTGATCCAAAGTCGGGTTGCTGTGTCAGAGTGGCATTTTTATTAATGAGAATACAAAAAGCTTGCATATTCTCAGCCCTGCTTGAATTTAGTTGCTAAGCAACCGGTGTATGGTAATTCATCCGCGAAATTTAAATCTTTGAGAAAGGATCGTGCGTTTTGCTGAATGGTCGCCACGAGGAAAACAGCTTGTGGGACTGTCCGCAGCTGTTCCGGCCCGGCTGCCGGGCAGAGCTGGGCCGGGCAGGGTCGGGACACCCCCCTCCCCGCCCCCTCGACAGCTACCGCCCCACCTGGGCGCCCGGCCTCGCGCGGCACCCCGGGGGGAAGCTGGGCTTCGGACGCCCGCGGCCCGCGCCCCGCGCCGGCACCCTCCTCCTCCGCTCCTCCGATCCCCCACCTCCACCTGGGCCGG